AATGGCCCTTTAGAGATCCAATCCAGACAACGTAGCCCATATGCAGTATGAGTATTTCAGCAAGTAGCAGGATTCACTCCAGTAAACATGTCTTGGAATGTACCCCTGTCATTTCCAGCGTGCTGTAGATACTAAACAACTTGATTGGATGATTTCAACCAAAAGACCCATTTCAATACCATTACGAAATTGCACGACATTTACCCCTCCCCCCATGTCTTCACGTATACAATTTACCCACCACTTGTCCAATTTCAGTTAGCAAACGACAATGGAAAATTTTATTAGTGACACATAATTATTATAAACACTGAAGTATGAAAAGCATCACACTATATGCGAAATCTAAGGTGATAGCATGACTCATCAAATTGTGGCCCTAAAGAGGGCCGTTGGGTTTTGGTCGTTGGGCCAAGACGTGCGAAGCACTACATTGCTCACTTCGAGCTCGTGTACTTCGTAACGGCCTTTGTGCCCTCCGAAACAGCGTGCTTCGCCAACTCACCAGGAAGAATGAGCCGAACGGCTGTTTGAATTTCGCGAGATGAAATTGTAGAGCGCTTATTGTAGTGGGCCAAGCGACTTGCTTCCGCAGCAATGCGTTCGAAAACGTCGTTAACGAACGAGTTCATAATTGACATAGCTTTCGACGAAATGCCCGTGTCAGGGTGTACCTGTTTCAGAACTCGATAGATATATGCCGAGTACGATTCCTTTCGCCGACTACGGCGTTTCTTATCACCACTTCGCGGTTTATGGGACTTAGCCGCCTTCTTCGCTCCTTTCGCAGATGGTTTTGGTGGCATCGCTGAACGGTTAAAGCTTTTAATCCACTCACTGACGGTAACACTAAACTTAACTATGTTGAACACTCACAATCGCTGACTATTTATATCCTTCATTCTGAGCGCCAATATCTTAAGCCACGCCTATTTTTCCCGCCAAGTGAGTAAATGAGTGGGCGTGGCCTAAATTTTGGTTACTCTCGATGAAGGGTATAAATATGGATGAGATGGGCGGACTTATCATCTCACAAGTCTGTTAGTGGCAATTTCAGTGATCTCGGACAAGTAGTATGTCTGGTCGTGGTAAAGGTGGTAAGGCTAAATCGTCTGGCAAAGTGAAGTCGCGGTCCTCGCGTGCTGGTCTTCAGTTCCCGGTAGGCCGTATTCACCGTAAGCTGAGGAAAGGTAATTATGCGGAACGCGTTGGTGCTGGTGCCCCAGTATATTTGGCTGCGGTATTGGAATATCTCGCTGCTGAAGTGTTGGAACTGGCTGGCAATGCTGCACGTGATAACAAGAAGACTCGCATCAACCCGCGACACTTGCAGCTGGCAGTTCGCAACGATGAAGAATTGAACAAATTACTTGCTGGCGTGACCATTTCTCAGGGTGGTGTGCTACCTAACATCCAGGCTGTTCTCCTCCCGAAGAAAACTGCTGAGAAAGCGTAAAGCTAATTTGCGCCACAAAACCCAACGGCCCTCTTTAGGGCCACAAATCTGTGAATCATGCTGTACCTACGTAGATTTAATGTTGATTATCCTAGGCCTCTCACTAATCGGGTCATGTTTATCCGTATTTTTTACGTTCTGGTGTTGTCAAACGACCGTTTGAAATGGGGGATATGTGGTATTAGCTTTCCTTCCGCCCTGCTGTACAAATTTAAAAGGGATTTGGTGTATGTACAATGTCTTTGCTTAATAAAATTCACGTGAGAGTTGCTTAAGCATGTTTCGATGACTGGATTGGTCTATAGAAACGGTTCAGAGCCGCACTGATTGGTCATCGAGCTCGTCGGAATTTGTGGAGGAACTTCGCGGGCGTGGCTGGCAGATCCTCGCATTTCGACCGTTTGAGATTTCAGCTTGTTTTGCAAGGAGGACGATGTTATGATATGTTGAAGTCTTAATGTCATATTTCGACATCTTTGAAATGCAATAAAACATGAATTGAAACGTTTTAATAAATTCTAATAAAGTTACGTCTTAACAAAATTCAAGAAAGTTTTAATAAATGTTTGACAATGCACAACAAAAATATCAATAAATATTCAACAATAGTTCAAACGCGCACGTGTGGCGGTGAGCCATACAGAAAAATGATGACCACACACGTGGGACACAACATATGAATTACAACTTGGGATGCAGTGCAACTATCACATAATGCGAGCCTGATTCTATTTTAACAATCCATGTTGAGTCGACTGGCCAGAACTGGGACCTTATGACTCTGCAATCTTAGATATTTTGGATAGTTTCCAAAATATCTGACTTTTCCACCAAACTGTTTTGTCAAAACTTCAAATTATCGCCATTTGAAAGGACTATGACTGGCATCTTTGAAAGGACAGGGACAAGTATCATTCAGGACAAGTTTACCGTAAGACTCGCTGACCGTCTTTACTTGGCTCGCGACCCAAGCTATTAAGAAACGAACTAGCGTCCCACTTCTTTCCTAGATTACAGATACCCCAGAACCATCACGATTAGCTAACCGCTGAATTCCCCAAAATTTATGCAGCAATATAACTCAAGCGTCAAACGCACTTTTCATATCACGAATAATGATCGATTAGCAGGGATCGTACGGCAAAAGACACATTGACTGCCAAATCAACTGATTTCCTGATTGTTGCATGTTATAAGTGTAAACACTTCAAAGACATATTCATCAAAAAATTTATTAGATCTTTCTTTGGCAGCACAACTCATCAAATTGTGGCCCTAAAGAGGGCCGTTGGGTTGGGAGATGGTCCTCAAACTACTCCACAGGTAGAACAGGTTGTTTAGGCCCGTTCGCCACGAATGCGTCGAGCGAGTTGGATGTCCTTTGGCATAATCGTGACACGTTTGGCGTGGATCGCACACAGATTCGTATCCTCAAAAAGCCCCACTAAGTAGGCTTCGCTAGCCTCCTGCAGTGCGAGCACAGCGGACGACTGGAAACGAAGATCGGTCTTGAAATCTTGGGCTATCTCACGCACCAAACGTTGGAAGGGCAGTTTGCGGATAAGTAGCTCGGTAGATTTCTGGTAACGACGGATTTCACGAAGCGCAACGGTACCAGGGCGGTAACGATGCGGTTTCTTCACTCCACCAGTAGCGGGAGCTGATTTCCTCGCTGCCTTTGTCGCCAGCTGCTTTCTCGGTGCTTTCCCACCTGTCGACTTACGAGCGGTTTGCTTTGTTCGCGCCATCAAGAAAACGTCTGCGCAGTTAAACAACTGAATGCATAGACGATCGGAGACACGCTTTTATAGGCTTCCACTTTCCCGCCAAATTTCTCAGCGATTATCGTAAAATGAACACACCCCTTTCTGTTATTTGTGGAAAATTCTTTGAAGGAGGGACCATCTTTGATTATCGATTGTAGTGAGGGAGCATTCGATCTGCTATTATATGGTTATTATGGTAACAATATAATAGCTGATTATTATTATATCGACAGAAACATGTCATATGCATATTATAAAGATTTATAAAGATTTAACAAATCTTTTATAATAAATTGAGGATCAATAAAAGAAAATAAATTATTTTAGAGGTAATTTAAAAGCTTGCAGTTTTTGAGAAATCCTTCTTTTTAGTGAATTCGCGCAAAAATTACAAATAACCTTATTGAAAATTTGTTAAACTCAAAAAAAGCTTACAATCTAAAACGATTAATGGAATGAATCTTCCTACATCATTTTCGAAAGCAAGCAAAAATTAGCTACTAGCTCAAATTTACAGAAAAATTGAAATTCTATCCATTATATGTTTATTGTGGGTTACATATAAATTGTAAACCATATGTGGTATACGTATGCATACCACAGATCTGCATGAGTGC